GGTCCCCAGGACTATATGCGACTGAAAACTCACACCCCAGAAGTGACTCGAACCCATACTCCCAGGAGCAACGCAACTGGTAACGACAGGACGCCTTAATCCGCTTGACCATCACGACCGGACATAAGGAAGTGATAGCCGAAGCTATTTGAACCACTTCCCTGCCGGCACTCGGATGGTAATCTTGGGCATAGCATTTTATCAAATCACCTCATTCTTTGGGGCACACGTGAGGAACACAAATGCGAACAAGCCTGAATGGTCCCCAGGACTATATGCGACTGAAAACTTACACCTCAGAAGTAACTCGAACCCATACTCCCAGGAGCAACGCAACTGGTAACTACAGGACGCCTCCTTAATCCGCTTGACCATCACGACCGGAGTCACTTCTGTTTTTCGAGTCACTTCTGGGGGTGTGAGTTTTCAGTCCCATATAGTCCTGGGGGCCATTCAGGCTTGTTCGCATTTGTGTTCCTCACGAGTGCCCCAAAGAATGAGGTAATTTGATAAAATGCTATGCCCAAGATTACCATCCGAGTGGCGGCTGGGAAGTGGTTCAAATAGCTTCGGCTATCACTTCCTAATGTCCGGTTAAGGCGTCCTGTAGTTACCAGTTGCGTTGTTCCTGGGAGTATGGGTTCGAGTCACTTCTGGGGTGTGAGTTTTCAGTCATATATATATATATATATATATATATATATATATATATATATATATATATATATATATATATATATATATATATATATATATATATATACCCTGGAAACACAAACCGTAACTGTCTCGTTTTTCGCTTGATACAACCTGTAATAAAGTTGTTACATCTTGGCTTAAAGTGTTTATGACGTATTAGAACGTTGTTACAACTTGCTATATTGGTTGTTATAACTGGTTAGGAGGTGTTAAAACTTGTTCGAACGTTGTACCAACGTCGTAGTTTCGGTGTGTGTTTGGCGGGTATATATTTAAATTTACTAACAATCTTTCATATGTGCATTGTTTCTCTAAGCACTGGTATACTAGTTAATAATCTGTCTGCTCTTATATATACCGAAGAGCTCCTCGCATTGTTATTCCTAATTTTTTGAATGAAGAGTAAGAAAATCTTGATTCCATTGTATTCGAACTTTGCTACCCAGGTCGTTTTTGAGACTTACCGTAGCTAAGCACAACGTACATACTACAAGAAAATATACACTGAGAAAATTTACCAAAAAATGTATCGTTTACAATATTTTTGTCCATGATTCGAAAACACTTATGAGAAAATACTGAGGCCATGCAACGGGATCGAACCCGCATCCCTGGACACCCCAGGGAGAGTGCCTGAAGAGTGCAAGGGAGTGAGGTCGATCCCAATGTACGCCCTCAATGTTGTCTGAGTATGATGCATATATTATAGTCAAACTTCACAAAATTCATAATATAGAATTTCTCAAAATAAATATTATGATAGAGTTGGACCACTATCTCATGCTTTATGTATCTATGTGCATGTAGATATTTTAGCAAGTAGTCTTTTATTTATAATTGTAAGAGCGTTATAAATAATTTTTTTATCTGATTTGATACAAATCACTAAAGTACTACAAAAATATTAATAATAGATTATACTTGCCTGATATTTTTTTTATTTCTTAAAAAAAAAAATCTTAGTAAGAAGATTTCTGGACACCTATTGCCCTCACGTAACTTGTGGTAGCCTTTATGTGCAATATAGCTATCCTTTATGTGCCAATATGGCCATACTGAAGGCTCGCACTAGTAACCTATTCTATTAAATAAAGAAAATATGATGTGAATATTAGGGTGAAGCAGAAGCCTTCTTGCTCAAGAGTGATTGTCTGCCCCTCAGGCAAGGTCATATTCGGCAGGTGGACTGGGCCATGAGGCCGGCGGACTGGGCCATGAGGCAGACGGACTGGGCCATGAGGCAGACGGACTGGGCCATGAGGCAGACGGACTGGGCCATGAGGCCGGCGGACTGGGCCATGAGGCAGGTGGACTGGGTCATGAGGCAGGCGGACTGGGCCATGAGGCAGGTGGACTGGGTCATGAGGCCGGCGGACTGGGCCATGAGGCAGGTGGACTGGGTCATGAGGCCGGCGGACTGGGCCATGAGGCCGGCGGACTGGGTCATGAGGCCGGCGGACTGGGCCATGAGGCAGACGGACTGGGCCATGAGGCAAAAGACACACTCTGCGTTTTCTCATGTAGACAAAGAGAAGGAGGAACACCTGTTGGTACCTGGGACAGTCTGTCCCATGTCTGGGCCATGAGATGACAGACATGGGACAGTCTGTCCCATGTCTGTGCAACTCCCCCTCCACCCCTGGGACTGTCTGTCCCAAGGAGGGGGGGGGGAGTTGCACAGACAGCGGCGCAGCGGCTGTGATGACGTCATGCTTGTTTACTGATTGGGGAGTTCTGTTTTACTCGTTCGGCTTTCGGTTAGCAATTTTTCACCCGCTGTAGTTTGTTTTGTGATTCCTACCTTTCTGGTTGCCAGACCTGGTAGATGGCAGATATAGACAGCTTCCAACTACAAGGGGTTCCTATAAACCATTGCTCCTCGTGCCTTTCTGAGGGAGGCCAGGTTCTGGTGCTGGTCCCCGATAGGCCTAGAACTCCATCGATTGACTAAGATTGATTGATGACGATTAAGCCACTTAAAAGGTGGCACGGGCATGAATAGCCCGTAAGTGGTGGCCCTTTTAAGCCATTACCAGTATCATTAGCTGATACTGGAGATCTGTGGAGGTGCGACTGCACCCTGCGTGACGGGAGATGTCTCCCCCGTGCATCGATTGACTGTTTGTTGTTGTTATAGATTCAGCTACTCGGAACAAGTTAAAAGTAGCACGGGCTGTGGTGAGCCCGTAACGTACCTTGCGCAGGAGCGGGGCAAGTAGCACGGGCTATGGTGAGCCCGTAGTGGACTTACCTGGCACAAAAGCGGTGCTTTCGGATTGACTGTTGCCACGGTCTATAATATATACACATCAGCCCGGTATAACTCCGGGTCTCACTCCGGGTGGTTCCTTGGGAACAGATTAACAGGAGGGGCAGATTTTCAGATTTTGTAGCGTTGGCCGTCTAATCATGGGTGGCATGTGGTTCCTTTTCTTTGATATCTTAGATATCTATAATGCGTGTCAATACTTAATCTGGAACTCTGTTATCTGAACTTACTTTGTATTTGCTATATTGCCATACTGGCTTATCGCTTTGCTATGATGATAACTTACTTAAATTGGCCTTCATTGAGTAATGTAGTGTTATTTATTTAGGGAGACTTGAAGGGTGTTATTATTTAGTAAGCAACACACTTTAAGCCTCACGTGTGTAAAGAACGTAATGCTGGAAGGCGTCAAGTTTTATGGTTACCACGCTAGAAATATTTATGTAGGAAAATAAAGTAATGCAGCGTTTTATATTTTGTAACAATAAAAAATTTGTTTAATAAAAAGTTGTTTTATAAATCAGTGAATTCATTTAAATTAGCCAATCTATGTGTTTTAGTAGAATTTTATGGGCATTTTATGACAAATTCCTTCATCGAGAAATGTAAGTTTATGCCATGGGAGAGTAAAGAAGCCCCCTTTGAACTGTCGTGACTTTGTAACATATTATTAAGAATATAAGTGTCACTGAGGGCCAATATGTCCTCCCTTTTTAGCCAGTATGTTAATGATGCATTATTAAAACTGGTTAAAGATTGATTATGCCACTTACAGGTCTTGCCGCTGTTTTAATATTTAATCATTAAAGATGACGTTGATTTCTTAAGGAATGTGCTTGATACAATAATTTCAGTATTATTGTTTGCTAATATATTCCTGGCCGTTGAGCAGAGCCCCTTACTCCTTTTATTATATGTACGACCCCTGAACGTATTCTCTCTTCCTTTATTAAATTGCCTGAAAGATGAGTTGATTAGGCAGTGAACGGGTGCTCCCTTTACATGTAGTCTCTCTCCCATGTTTGTACTCAAAGAAAATTAAATCGTTTAGTAAATTGGTTGTTGGACGACAGCTGTAGTAGGGCATACATCAGAGAGGAGATACCATACTCTCGGAAGTATAACTTCCGGGAGTATGAGGTTCAAAGACTTTTACAAAATTGTGAATATCTCGTAGGTCTACCTGCCCTTTGATTTTAAAGTAAACGGGACTAGCCAAAATATGTGATCAATTATTAATAATAGTTTAATTTTGAAATTCAATATTTCTGCTAAATTTGCCATTTTTAGGTAAAAATAGCTGTGCACGCGAGAGATCGCTCAGCTGGACAAGTAACAATTGGTGTGGCATCAAACATATTATTATGAACTGGTTTGAGAGCTCAGTAAAGAAGACAAGACACTTTGTATTCTTCAGCCACGAGAACTCCATCAGTAAACAATGCAACACAGGAATCCCTCACGAACCAACTTTATGGTCTATTTTCTTCTTAATTGATGCTGGTGGAAAAGTGTTATCATGAGGAATATACACCAAGAGCTTCTCGGTGTATATATACAAAAAAGTTTACTTTAGTTCAATTTTTTTCAAAACTAAAGCATACCTACTGGTTGATCAATTAACTCTTTTGATGGTCTTAATTATCCTCCAGAGGTTAATAGGACTTAAGACAAAAAGTTTTATTGATCTACGAGAAGATTTGCAAGAAGATGCTACTGATTCAGATGTAGACGAAGCAGGAAATGTATACACATTACTTATAGTGGCGTAAAGTATAATTTAGGTGGTGTGGATGTGAAGGAGAAGAGCCACATAACCACTTAAGAAGTGCTCCCCATAGGTTCAAGTGGCGAGGTAAGCAGCAGTTGACTGCCTTATTTTTTTCGCAATCTTAGCTCCAGACGTCTCCCGGGACCCAGTGGAAGGGCGTCTCAGTGCTCAGAGTTTCTTAAATTTATATAGCAAGAAATATTTTTGTTTTTTCAATAAGAAAAATGGCAACTATTCTTATCTAGGTGGAAATAAGGACGATTAATATTTAAGTTTAATTAGTCTCTTCCGCATATTTGCATGTTGTTTGAATGTATCTTTAAATTTATATAAATCTAGTGACAAAATTAAAATGAAAATCAAATTTGTCTCATATATTTATTTAACTAAACAGTGATAATATATCACACGTAAATAAATATTCAGTCACACTCGAATATCTGCACAAAGTTCACTCATAACTTGTATTCGTGGAGATATTTTCCGATCATTCTTGCGGTTATATTTACTGAGGAGTACCATAACTGCCGGAGAGTCCAGAGGACTTGCCGCGGGCGGCGGCGGCGTCCTCTTCGGCAGCCTTAGCGATCTGGTCCAGCACGAACTGAGGGATTGGGTGGGGGAAGGCAGGAGCCACTGGCAGCAGGTCAGACTGGGGCTGGTAGCCGTTCTCGTCGGCGACGAACTTCACAACGACGTCAGTGCCATCAGGAGCAGTGTAGCTGTGGGAAAGATAACATGCATCCAGTAAAAATAACAGCTTTCCTACATAAGACGATAACAATGGAATCAGTTTGTTTAACAAATACTCACGAATATTGACCAGCCTTGGCTACGGCTCCTCCGGGGCCGCTGGGGGAGCCAGACTGGGATACCACGATGCCGTTGCCAGTCTCCACGTCCAGTTTGTAGGAGCCTTCATTCCCAGGTACAAAATCGTGCCTGATAATGGGCACCTCCTCGCTGGAGCCACCGTAGCGGGTAGGAGCCTGAGGGGCTGCGTACTGGGGGGCGGCGGCGGCCACGGCCACAACGACGGCGAGAATTACCTGTGTTCAATATCGGTCATTGGAATATGTCTGAAACCAAACTTTAATTTTTGAACAAATATTGTTTGACGTGTTCTGCTAAATATACTACACTATGTAACATAATTTATTTATAATATTAGCAAACTTTGCCTCTTTTATTAAACATTCAGGTAGTGACGTACGTTATTTGTATAAAAGTACCAGCAAAGAAAATATTTTATTCATGAAGTTTACATATCAAAACCGAATTATTGCTTCGAACAAAACATAATTTCTTATTTGTATATGAGTTCCAATAAATATTTTTCATATTTCACTTATCACTCATTTCTACATTTATTAATTCCCATCGACATAGCCATTTCCCCCCCGTCAGTACTCACGGTGTTCATGTTGGTGTGTGCTGCAGGCCACTGATGCACTGCCTCTCCCAGCCGCTGTATTTATAGCAGTCATGCAACCTGCAGACACTGTTGCCACATGCACTTCACAGGCCAACCTTCTGCGTCAGATACAATTAATTACATCATATTTCAAGTTCGCAAAAGAGTTTCTATATTTCTCTTTTTTTTTTTTTTTTAGCATGTGAGCGAATGTTTGGATTCGTTCATAGACGATGAGTCACAATAACGTGGCTGAAGATATAATGACCAAACCACAACATATCAGAAAATGAAGAAATGATCTTTCGGGCCTCCCTGGACCATTATCACACGACTTGATGATGGTCCAGGACGGACCGAAACGTTGTCGTTTCTTCGTTTTCTGATGTGTAGTTTAGTCATCTTGTACAAGTGTACATCCTTATGATACATGAACAGTGGAGGTAATAGGTAAGTTAAGTACAATGCATAACGCCACTAACATGCAGAGCATCTCGGACATAATGTAAAATAAATAGGGATAATAATTTACAAGCTAAATGGGTAACAATTACACCTAACTGAGAAAAGAAAACCTTTTGAATTGTGAAGAAAATTCAGAAAAATGATTGACAAATTTTCACATGGTATTTGGAGACTAAGGTTCTTACAAGAGTACAAAAATAGTAAGTATTTGTATAATTGAAAAGGGGATTCAATAGATATTATTATTTTTTTATTTAGACATTGTTCTTTTTAGTAACAGTGCAAATCCAGTAAATAATATTCATAACAGCATTAAACACAAGCTGACTTGGAGGATGAGAGGAAGTAAGTAGAGTTAATTTAGGTAGCTCTTGGTTTCTCTTTTAAAGTGGACGAAAGAAGTACAGTCTTTAATCGCATTAATCTACTAAGATATATAAACATTGAGTATATATTATTGAGTATATATTATATCAATATAAAAGATCATTTAATCCTAATAACTTACTTGCAACAGACAAATTAGTGAGACATCAAAGGTGTCGAGGTCTCTGAGGAGGTCAACTCAGGTATCATTCTGGCAGTATGAATTAATAATAAATATTAAGTTCCTTTCTAATAGACATAGTCAGTATAGTACTGTGTTGGATTCTACCCCCTTTTTTCCCAAACCCTTTCAAATTATTTACAGTTCTTACATTGGAGAAGTTCTTGTTTGCTAACTCGCTGACTCTTGTCAGTTATCATCAATGCCCCTCGTTCTGCTGTTCTTTATCTACTTTTTTGAAATCATAAAGATTGTTAGATTACATAATTAAATCACAAAATGTGATATATCTACGAGGAAGTCTTATGAACTGTGTGATGAGCTCCGGTTCAATCACATTTTCCTCTCAGCTCAGGAATGAGAGTTACTTTATAGTATTGATCCTTTTTAATTTTAATTTGAGCTGTTATAGATAGGGTTTCCATGCGGGGGCTGCGCACCCAAGAGTGAATCGCACAACAGTTGTACATGGTACCAGGAAAAATTCTTGATTACACGTCTAAAAATTGGGTTGGCGTGTCAATTGGTGACATCAATTAAAAAAATTCTTGATAAGGCCAATGAAGTTAAACTTATTATACTATTATATTTTATGAACTCTGGCAATAAAGATGAAGATATGTCTACTCACAGGTATTTCTCCTTTACTGATACGTGAATCTTTTTCCGCTACTTTCTGTACTAATGTGCGGATTTTCACACTGGCGTCTGTCGGCCCTGTTCTGTATTGATCTAGATTAAAATCCAATAGCAATTATTCTGAACAGTTTTAGAGTGCCAAGTTCAGTTTTTCCATAGAATGAAATTTTTCTCTTCGTTTAATTATTCTTCCTCGTTAGTTTTGGCTCCTCAGCCCATATTGACATTCAGGAAACAATTTCCAATCTAGGTTTTGTGTTTGTGTGTACATGTGTGCGTGAAACTATGTACATGTACTCACTTAGACGTGGTCATTAGCCCCACCTTTCCAACCACTGATCGATTAATGTAATAATTATTTTTCTGGTGGTCATATTTTATTTTCATTTTGTTTATTGAATTTACCTCAACAATCAAGTCATTCACCTCTTACGCCCATAACATTCTTACTGCATGTCTCCTGCTCATTTCGGACTCTTGTTTTCACGTTTCCACTAATTTTTCTATGCATCATTTTAAACATAACATTTTTCGAGTAGTTATGTATTAATAGATGTTTACATCTTTGTCTCTATACGTATGTATATATGCGCAAGTGCATATGTGTGTACATGTATGTTTGTGTGTACTACGTACCACCGTGTACGGGTCTGACCCTGTGTTTACGGGGAGGACTGTGAGTAGCCAGGCCGTGCCAGAGTCTGTGGCACTACGGGAGGTGCCATTACCGCACTCCAAATGTAGAGGAGAAAAACGTTGTCAGCAGGCCAGTGGCCCAGCAAAGGAGAGGGTATTGTTGCCTAAGAGTGATTGTCTCACCCCCCGGCAAGGTCGTTCTTCCGTATGTTCAGTCTCCGGTGGTGGGTGGGTCGTCGTGCAATATGCCACGCCTTAGGTACGTCTGTCTGTCTCTACTCACCTAGTTGTACTCACCTAGTTGTGCTTGCGGGGGTTGAGCTCTGGCTCTTTGGTACTGTCAATCAACTGCTGTACAGATTCCTGAGCATACTGGGCTCTATCATATCTACATTTGAAACTGTGCATAGAGTCAGCCTCTACCACATCACTGCCTAATGCATTCCATCTGCTAACTACTCTGACATTGAAAAAGTTCTTTCTAACGCCCCTGTGGCTCATTTGGGTACTCAGTTTCCACCTGTGTCCCCTTGTTCACGTATCACCCGTGTTAAACAGTTTTCCTTTGTCTACCATGTAAATTCCTCTGAGAATTTTGTAGGTAGTGATCATGTCTCCCCTTTCTCTTCTGTCTTCCAGTGTCGAGAGGTGCATTTCCCACAGTCTTTCCTCGTAACTCATGCCTCTTAGTTCTGGGACTAGCCTAGTGGCATACCTCTGAACTTTTTCAAGCGTCGCCTTGTGCTTGATAAGGTATGGGCTCCATGCTGGGGAGGATTGGTCCAGAATTGGTCTTACATATGTGGTATATAAGGTTCTGAATGATTCCTTACACAGGTTCCTTACGGCAGTTCTGATGTTCGCCAGCGTCGCATACGCTGCAGATGTTATTCTTTTGATGTGAGCTTCAGGAGACAGGTTTGGTGTGATATCAACTCCCAGATCTTTCTCTCAGTCCGTTTCATGAAGGCCTATCTCCCCCATTCGGTATCCTGTGTCTGGCCTCCTGTTTCCATTGCCTAGTTTCATTACCTTACATTTACTCGGGTTGAACCTTAATAGCCATTTGTTGGACCATTCATTTAGTCTGTCTAGGTCATCTTGTAGCCTCATACTATCTTCCTCCGTCTTAATCCTCCTCATAATTTTTGCATCATCAGCAAACAATGAGAGGAATGATTCTATACCATCTGGAAGATCATGTACATATATAAGAAACAGTATGGGTTCAAGGACTGACCCCCTGGTGACATCTCGCTAATCTGAGACCTCGCCCCTCACAGTGACTCGCTGTCTTCTGATACTTAGGTACTTCCTTATCCAATGGAGTACTTTCCCTTTCACTCCTGCCTGCATCTCCAGCTTTCGCACTAATCTCTGGTGTGAAACTGTGTCAAAGGTTTTCTGGCAATCCAAAAATATGCAGTCTGCCCACCTCTCTCTTTTTTGCCTGATGCTTGTTGCCTGTTTGTAGAATCTGCCTGTCTGTCTGTCTGTCTGTCTGTCTGTCTGTCTGTCTGTCTGTCTGTCTGTCTGTCTGTCTGTCTGTCTGTCTGTCTGTCTGTCTGTCTGTCTGTCTGTCTGTCTGTCTGTCTGTCTCTCTCTCTCTCTCTCTCTCTCTCTCTCTCTCTCTCTCTCTCTCTCTCTCTCTCTCTCTCTCTCTCTCTCTCTCTCTCTCTCTCTCTCTCTCTCTCTCTCTCTCTCTCTCTCTCTCTCTCTCTCTCTCTCTCTCTCTCTCTCTCTCTCTCTCTCTCTCTCTCTCTCTCTCTCTCTCTCTCTCTCTTTCTCTTTCTCTCCAGTGATATATTTACTTTCTGAGGGTGGCTACTTTCATAACTCACAAAAGAGGATCACGAGTTCAATCTCCTGGTGAAATTGAAATAGTTAGGCACGTTTCCTTTCCTTTTACGACTCGTTGTTTCAAACAGGTGTAAATAGGTACTCTAGAGGTAGACAACTTCTGTTGGGCTGCTTCCTGGGGAAGGTCAGTAGTTCTACCTAAGGAAGGTGGGTGACCTCGAGATATATATATATATATATATATATATATATATATATATATATATATATATATATATATATATATATATATATATATATATATATATATATATATATATATATATATATATATATATATATATATATATATATATATATATATATATATATAAACATAATATCCAGATAATCTGACCACCAAGCAACCACTAAACCTTAATTCATACAGCATTAGCCATTCTAAGCTGACCAAGCATTACTATCATAACTTGCCCTATCTCGAGTAACAAATCACACGTACTTATTCATGACATATAAACACCCCAGAGTGCTGGCAGCACACACAATAACAACAGCGGTAGCATGACGCATACAGGTGTCGAAATAGTGTGATTTGTTGACATTCTCAGCCCAATGCCTTATGACAAACTTGTTGACGTGCCATATTTATATACTTTCGTGCACTATGTATCATCATTTTATATGTATTATTGTGTCTAATTTGTTATCGTGCAATATGTATAATTATGCAGTGTGTTTGCGTTCCAGGCTAATGTGTCTGTATTCACGACTTTGCTGTTCAACGGTAGTTTAATATCCTTATCTTATTGACATCTTGCACTCCCTGTGTTGCTGCCTTGGCCTCCATGTGTTGTTACCTTAGCCTCCATGTGTTGCTACCTTGGCCTCCATGTGTCACTACCTTGGTCTCCATGTGTTGCTACCTTGGCCTGCATGTGTCGCTACTTTGGCCTCTATGTGTTGCTACCTTGGCCTCCATGTGTCACTACCTTGGTCTCCATGTGTTGCTACCTTGGCCTGCATGTGTTGCTACCTTGGCATCCAAGTGTTGCTACCTTGGCCTCTATGTGTTGCTACCTTGGCCTGCATGTGTTGCTACCTTGGCCTGCATGTGTTGCTACCTTGGCCTGCATGTGTTGCTACCTTGGCCTGCATGTGTTGCTACCTTGGCCTGCATGTGTTGCTACCTTGGCCTGCATGTGTTGCTACCTTGGCCTGCATGTCTTGCTACCTTGGCCTCCATGTATTTAACGATATGTTGATGTGCTATTCCTATGTTAAATATGCAATTTAATTTTAATTTGTTATATTTTTGAAAACAGTTCATGGAAAGGTCAGTGTGAAGCATTAGTGGTGTATTTTCCACATTCCAAAAACATGGGAAAAAGTTATCACGTCAAAGGTTGGCTGACAAGTGTATGGAATTTCTTACGTTAAAAATCAGATTTGAAAAGTTAACTTTTTAAGTTGTAAGTTTTGAAAATTTTGCATTTTTTCTTAGTTTTGAAAACGTTTTGAAAACTTACATGATTTAAAATTATAATAGTTTTATTAACTCAGTTTCTTACGTCGAAGAATTGGTTGAACTTGTAAGGTTATCACGTCTTCTCCTGGGGCTGTGAGAGGCAATATGACTCGGCAAAGGTTGAGGCTGTGGGAACTGAGGTGAGCGCAGCCGCACGCTCTCCGTTCCAAAATATATAAATATATATATATATATATATATATATATATATATATATATATATATATATATATATATATATATATATATATATATATATATATATATATATATATATATATATATATATATATATATATATATAAATATATATATATTGTCCTGGGGACCATTCAGGCTTGTTCGCATATATATATATATATATATATATATATATATATATATATATATATATATATATATATATATATATATATATATATATATATATATAAATATATATATATACATATATATATATATATTTGACCACAAGCGCTTTTCAAAAGCCAACATATAAAAAAGCAAATAACACATTAACCTTTAAAATATTAATTTCCCTTTTAGAGGTGATGTTTGTTAGAAACTGTCTTAGGATGGAAAAAAATGAAAACAAAGACGGCTTAAAGAAAATGTAGAACTAAAAAGTCCGCATCAGAATAATGAATGGGGGAAACATCACTATTGCAAGCAGCAGTTTTAAATATATCTGTATATTCATGTACCGCTGATACATACGATTTTGCTTTTAGTAAATAAAACAGAATTGCATTTACGTGCATACAGTTTAATTTTTGAAATAGAAATGATTAAACATCTTTGTTTTAATAAATACAACTTTAACAGATGACACATTAGGTGGATGACGCTTCATAATTTAAGAGTTATGTTTACTGTGGAACACCGTAGCTGGCAGAGGGACCCGACTTGCCGCGAGCGGCGGCAGCGTCTTCCTGAGCGGCGAAGGCGATCTGGTCCAGCACGAACTGGGGGATTGGGTGGGGGAACTCAGGAGCCACTGGCAGCAGGTCAGACTGGGGCTGGTAGCCGTTCTCGTCGGCGACGAACTTAACAACGACGGGAGTGCCGTCAGGAGCAGTGTAGCTGTGGGAAAGAAAATATATTGCCGCAACAAGGTAAATAAATAAATACTTCTATTTCATCTAAAGAAGAATATGACAGGAAAATGCCAACATGTATGTAGATATGTATACATATAATACTCACGAATACTGTCCGGTCTTGACCACAGCGCCCTCTGGGCCACTGGGAGCGCCAGCCTGGGATACAACGATGCCGTTGGCAGTCTCCACATCAAGCTTGTAAGCGCCGGCGTCCCCAGGTACAAAATCGTGCCTCAGAATGGCCACCTCTTCACTTGACTCTGAATAGCGAGTAGGTGCCTGAGGGGCGGCGTACTGGGGGGCGGCGCTGGCCACGGCCACAACGACGGCGAGGATAACCTGTGTGCGAGGATAATATATTTAATATACTTGAAAATGCCGGTACCAACCAAACAGATCAAAATATATATATTTCATCTTTGTTTAATTTTGACTTTTCAAAATTACTCTTGTAAACAATTAAGAGTACATATAATATTGCAACCCATCCTTCTGAAATGATAGTACTTATAGTAACTATTAATACTTATAGTAACTAACTATATAGGTTGAAAATGGCATGAAGTGATGGACCACCGGTAAACCACTTTTTGTGTTATTAATTAGGCCTATGATATCACGTATTTGGATAAGGATTGCTAGGAGACAAGGATTGTTAGATTAGGTCTTATGTGTATGTTATGTTTAAAAGTTTCGGTTTGTCCAAATTCAATAATTCAAAAGTCAACTTTCTGGTGGTCCATCATTATATATTTTTATTTTCACTAAATAACTATTATTAATACTCTCATTTTAGGAGGATGAGTTGTGATAGTGCATGTAATTATTTAAAATATAAATATATAATTGAATTATTTCTGGAGGAAAAATAAACATTTATCGTGATATATTTCTTGCTTCCTGGTGTATATACATTGATAATATATTTTAATCCTGAGCTATGTTCAACACTAAAGTACACTTGCTGGTAAGTCAATGAGGTATTGGGGTGACCTGAATGACCTTCCCGCGGTTGATAGGCCTCATGCCCAACACCAAACCATCTGAACACTCACAATCTTCATGTTGCCTGATGATGTTAGACCTGAATGTGATGCCGACGTCCTCTGCTGCCTATATATATACCACCATTTGGTCACTCAGTTGCCGGATAGGATTATTCTGTCAATTTGTAGTCCAGTTTCTACTTGACCCATAATTATCTGGCTGTGATTATTACTCAGCTTTTTATTACACATAATTGCAGTAGAATTTAAGCTAAACGAATATCTTTAACATTTATTACTGTTAGAGTTTTTTTTCTGTAGTAACATGGTGCATGTCCAAGTGAGCCAGGACTCGTTTAGAAGTTGACATTCTCTAAACGCCATATTCTTCAACCGGATGATACCAGTGAATATTATTTTGGCCAAGATATACACAAACCATGGAAATACATTTCCCAAGAACCATGTGCTTAGTGCTATTTGTCAATATATCTTTGTTTATTTGGACGATTTCATGTTGCTCCTTTTTTGGCAATGATAAAACCTAGCAAGAAGTAATTTTTCAGACAATTTTTGAATATAAATTTGCAAATCATATATTCAAGTTTGAGATTAGCAACAATTAAAATGTAAATTTTTTTGCAGACTGAGCGTTATTATTAGGGTGGAGTGTATAGATGTTGTTAACACACGAGTGTTGAAGTTATTTTCCATACAACTGAGATATTTGCCAGCCTGTGATCATAACTACTTGGTCACACACATGGAAACAGTTAACCCGTCATCAAAATAAGCAACATCTTATTGTAGTAGAAAATGTCTGCAATATTTATTTCTCACATCAGGTTAAACAATGTTTAACTATATCAAAATTGCAGGAAAACGTTTTATCCATCTGTAATGAAAAGTAGAAGAGGCTATTTAATTTAGTAAGTAAAAGTAATTACAGCTTGGCAGTTGTATTTCACTGAACATATAACGATATTCATAAAAGCTAATTTTATAAGAACTAAAAATATGTGTGACTTCAGTATTATTAGTATTGTTATAATTCAGAAATTCAGTTGGAACCATAAAAAGAATTCGAACCTGCACCCCGGGTACTCCCAACCACACGCCTTAAACCACTGAACCACGATGCGGTATAAGTAATGTAACCAGGGATTCAACTGAATCCTCTAGTAGGGTCTTCGAGGCATTAACCTGATAACAAATCCTAGGTGCAGGTTCGAATCCTCCTCATGGTTTCAACTGATTTTTACACTGATACATCACGTTAATATGATTTATTTGCTTATTTGAAACGAGCGTAGGGGGGTTAGGGAGTGGAGCTCCAATACCACACCAGAGTGAACGCGAGTAATGTGTGAAACCTTGATTTGGAGACATGTCGATGCCTTAGGATCCTTAGAGGAATCAGTTGAATCCCAGGTTAGGTTACTTAGCGCGTATCGTGGTCCAGTGGTTTTAGGTGTGTGCTTGGGTGTATCCAGGGTGCAGGTTCGAATCCTCCCTCATGGCTCCAACTGATTTCCTCATTAATGCATCATGTTAATGTGATTTCCTTGTGCATTTATATTATTAATATTAATTTAATATTATTATTATTCGTTTGAATGGTGTATGTTAAACTGTTATTTATATTAATTTTAATATTGAAAAGATGTTAATGCTAGAAAAAGTACTGTAAATAATGATGATAATTATACAAGAATAACAAGTATTATTATACCTTAAATTTGTTAGAAAATTACTGATGCTTCCAATAGTATTTAAAAAGTGGCAAGAACTTAGCCAAGCCTTCCCAAATAACAGACACACACAAATAACAGTGTGTGTGTGAGAGAGAGAGTAGATAGATAAATGCAATGCCAGCATGCGTACGCAGGCGTAAAAAAATTAAATACATGTGTTAAATAAAAAAAACTGTCATAGCATGTGAGTTATCACATTGAAGCCAGTACCCATTATAATTGAAGGGTAGTATAAACCTGCTCTATTTAGTGGGGCAAATGTAAGCCACACACCTGTTGAACAAGGTGGTCGTTGTTGCTCAAGAGTGACCGTATCCCCCCTGGGGAAGGTCGCCATGATCGGCGGCTCGGTGAAGGTGTGTCTGCTCTAGTTCGAGCAGACATCTTGAGACATCTTGCGCTCCTTCTCGCATCCTAAGTCTGTTGTTTATATTCTCACGCTTCCTTAAAGCTGCTGGTTGGGTCTCTTACCAGCTGTGGGTCCCTTACACATTTATCTTTGCGTATGAGTTCTGTGTACTATTCTGACTTGTCTTGTATTGGTGTTGAAGTCCTCTGAAGAGAGTGTGAAGAAGAGGGTCAAGTGGATTTGAAGGTGTTAAATATTGGCCCACTAGGCCAACCTTGTGCAGTCTTGTGATTAGTTTGGCCTTGCGGCTGCATTGGATCCTCGTGTGGGTTCGTGTACAAAATAATAAAAATAGTTTTCCACGCACAAAAACTTGGTAAGTTAATTTTTCTTTCCTTTTCGTGGATGGTACTCAACAATAAATGTAAAACCCTTAGTGCCCTTGTTCATTTTGCTCTTATTTTAAGACGAGGAAAATTTTGAAACATCACTAAGTCTTGGCAGTTAAATTTTTCCCTTTTAATGTTGTTTCATATACGTTAAATATTCGATTAAATACCTCCAATCCATATGAAAATGACCTTGTCTTGAAGACTGTCTACGTATATTTTAGGTTTTATAATTATACATGCATCATGTAAATGCTTTTGTTACAACTTTCATCTTTTTATGTCGGTCTTAGAAAGAGTAGCAGAACCAAGAGCGTGAGCTTCATTAATATTATCTAGTCCCTGTACGACCAGAGACATATTTGAGCTTATGTGGGGATGAGTCTATAAGAAAATGCTCACATTGTTCATACACACTTGCATAAATATATAACTGATCACTCATATACACACACGCGTATGTATATACGCGTGAAATATATGTTTATTTCTTAGTGATTTATACACTAATGAATTGTCCTCCTAATAGAATTTCGCCTTTTGACGTATACTCTACCTAAGGCCAAAAATTGTACTAGAAAATGGTAACGGCTCGTGAAATTGACATATTCTTTAGATTTTGTTTTGGATCCTCTGGTCAGTGCTTTTTCCGCCGGCTTGAGCCGGCGGAAAAACAAATGGGCAGTTTCCTTCGCCTGATGCTCCTGTTACCTAGCAGTAAATATGTACCTGGGAGTTAGACAGCTGCTACGGGCTGCTTCCTAGGTGTGTGTGTGTGTGTGTGTGTGTGAAGAAAAAAAATAGTTAGTAGTTAGTAACAGTTGACTGATTGACAGTTGAGAAGCGGCGCTAACAGATGGAATGCATTAGGCAGTGATGTGGTGGAGGCTGACTCCATAGACAGTTTCAAATGTAGATATGATAGAGTCCAGTAGGCTTAGGAATCTTTACACCAGTTGATTGACAGTTGAAAGGCGGGACCAAAGATCCAGAGCTCAACCCCCGCAAACACAACTAGGTGAGTACGTGTACATACATACATATATATATATATATTATATATATATATATATATATATATATATATATATATATATATATATATAATATATATATATATATATATATATATATGTCGTACCTAGTAGCCAGAACGCACTTCTCAGCCTACTATGCAAGGCCCAATTTGCCTAATAAGCCAAGTTTTTATGAATTATTTGTTTTTCGACTACCTAACCTACCTAACCTAACCTAACCTAACTTTTTCGGCTACCTAACCTAACTTTTTCGGCTACCTAACCTAACCTAACCTATAGAGATAGGTTAGGTTAGGTTAGGTAGGGTTGGTTAGGTTCGGTCATATATCTACATTAATTTCAACTCCAATAAAAAAAAATTGACCTCATACATAATGAAATGGGTAGTTTTATCATTTCATAAGAAAAAAATTGAGAAAATATATTAATTCAGGAAAACTTGGCTAATTAGGCAAATCGGGCCTTGCATAGTAGGCTGAGAAGTGCGTTCTGGCTACTAGGTACGACATATATATATATATATATATATATATATATATATATATATATATATATATATATATATATATATATATATATATATATATGTCGTACCTAATAGCCAGAACGCACTTCTATGCCTACTATTCAAGGCCCGATTTGCCTAATAAGCCAAGTTTTCATGAATTAATTGTTTTTCGACAACCTAACCTACCTAACCTAACCTAACCTACCTTTTTCGGCTACCTAACCTAAACTTACCTATAAAGATAGGTTAGGTTAGGTTAGGTAGGGTTGGTTAGGTTCGGTCATATATCTACGTTATTTTTAACTCCAATAAAAAAAAATTGACCTCATACATAATGAAATGGGTAGCTTTATCATTTCATAAGAAAAAAATTAGAGAAAATATATTAATTCATGAAAACTTGGCTTATTAGGCAAATCGGGCCTTGAATAGTAGGCATAGAAGTGCGTTCTGGCTATTAGGTACGACATATATATATATATATATATATATATATATATATATATATATATATATATATATATATATATATATATATATATATATATATATATATATATATATATATATATATATATATATATATATATATATATATATATATATATATATAGCAAATTTTGAAACCAGTTTTCATGACCAAAAGGATTAATTCAAAGACTATATAGATTCGATCAAATTCAATAACACAAATACACAAACACATATTCAAAGATTTATCAATTATCAACACCTGATACAAGAATATGACCTCTGAAGGTCACCACCTTCATGATTTAATGGACCTGACTCTCATCGCTGGGGCAAAAACATAATCACACACTTGGCATCACTGCCTGAGAAACTGGAGCACATATTGGCGGCCGGCAACTGTTTACTCAAATGACTGTATATATACGGAGGTCCAGGGAGGTGCCAGCATCACAGTTCGGCAGTGTCAGACAACATGAAGTTTGTGAGTGTCTGCTGGACTATTTTCAATAATTTCATAATTAAATCTATAGTATGTAGATTTTGAACATCTTTGAACAATTCTGGTTTTCACGTACAGATTATTTTCGCCGTCGTTGTGGCCGTGGCCAGCGCCGCCCCCCAGTACGCCGCCCCTCAGGCACCTACCCGCTATGCAGAGTCAAGTGAAGAGGTGGCCATTCTGAGGCACGATTTTGTACCTGGGGACGCCGGCGCCTACAAGCTTGATGTGGAGACTGCCAACGGCATCGTTGTATCCCAAGCTGGCGCTCCCAGTGGCCCAGAGGGTGCTGTGGTCAAGAGCGGACAATATTCGTAAGTATTATAACGCAGACATTTGGAAAAATAAAATATAAAGTCATTGTCCTTGATAATACAAACGTGTGATGCTGGAGAGTGAAAAATTACTTCCTCTCCACAGCTACACTGCTCCTGACGGCACTCCCGTCCTTGTGAAGTTCGTCGCCGACGAGAACGGCTACCAGCCTCAGTCTGACCTGCTGCCAGTGGCTCCTGAGTTCCCCCACCCAATTCCCCAGTTCGTGCTGGACCAGATCGCCTTCGCTGCTGCAGAAGACGCTGCCGCCGCCCGCGGCAAGTCCTCTGGTCCCTCCGCCAGCTACGGCCCTCCTCAGTAAACAACTGCAAGCATTGATGCATCGTCTTGCATCATTTATCTTATATCTGCTGCAATCCAGTGATTTCATCATTATTTATTATGTTTGTTTTATATATACATAAACATATCACAATAAAAATATCAAATAATATGTTTTCGTATTAAGAATCCCCCTGAGAGATTGTGAAATCATGCCTTAGAGGGAAGAAATAGGTCTAAGACAGGATTGTTTCTTTTGAGTATAACATTTCGTGAATATATAGTATGATCTGTTATTAGTTGTTTATGGAAAGTTAATGTGATATTTTACCAGTGAAAATTACAAAGAAGTATACTTTAATTTCGATAACTAGATTATTGATGTACAGATTTTAATAGTTTCTAAACTTTTAATTTTGATATATTTGTACATAAATTTTGCAACCTGTCTTCAGGCCAGGCTCGGTCACTTCTACTGACGTATTCATCAATTTTAACTATCGTATTTATATTTTGAATTTTCTTAATTATTAGAAGCCATTTATACATAATAGAATATACTGAATAGTAAGACTTAACTTAGATTAGGTAGATAGGTTCTGTTTACAATTACTGGATGAAGCATTTACTGAGATCAGTATAATTATCGGGAAGAAACGCTAAGCCTTACCTCCCTTGTAACTAGTTGTACTCAGTTGTACATGCTATATACGTCAGTCTGGCAACCTTCAAGAATCTTGTGTTCAGGTTCCAAATATAATTGTGCTCTGTCATATCTAGATTCGAAGAAGAGACGGCGTCTGCCTTTCTCAATTCATTTCTTGTATTTCATTTGGTCAATATACTAACACAAGAAGAATTCTTTGTATGTGTTTGTTGTACTAATGGGTAAATTATTTAAGCCTGTGTCTCCTTGTTCGCTTACAACCCATGCGAAAAAGTTTGTAATTGTGTGCCCTGTCAATTCCTTTAGAGTATCCATTTGGGTACAGTTTTTCATCAAATTCTGGCACATGCACGGGGCTTGCTGGGTTCTCAAATGTGATAAAGGTTGCAGGAATCCAGAAGCATAGATCACTAAGAACTATAAATGATCCAACCAGGATTCGAACCCATGACGTCCAGGATCACACCCGAACGTTCACAGTACGTGACCACAGTATCACTGATCGTCTTGAATCCTGGTTGAGTCATTTAGAGTTCTTTGTATGGCTTCCGCGTTCCTGCAGCCTTTGTTACATTTGTAGACTGAGCGCGGCCCGTGTATGTGTCGTAATTTGATGATAAACTGTACCGAAACTGATCCAAGAGTGTCGTCGGGGGTTGATAAGTCGTGAAGCTAAGTTGTTACACAAACTATGTAACAACGTTCTCGGATGTTTATTATTTTTCTAATTATCAATTATTCTGGATCTCCCTAAAAATGGCTACCCCGCCTCTCTCAGCTGTACTGTGAGGTAGATAGGTAATGTAGATGCATATGTGTAGTCCCTCACAATCTGGGCGTTTGTGACTGTTGTCAGGTCTGCACAACTGAGGTTCCCTTTGTGCTGAATACCCAGTTGTAACTAAACTTCTCTTGATGATGTCACTGACTGCTTCATGTTTAGCAATCTTTCCCTGTGATTTACGACAGATGAAACCGTGGCGCCGTATTGATCTGCCGACGCATAGCTGCATATACACCGCTGTTGGGTGGAGATAGTGGAGGCAAGGCGTTGGGCATCACCAATACTTAGGACCCGAGCGGAATTATAGATAGCCAACAGGAAGTCCCCAGCATGGAGGATCATGCACAGCTAGGGGTCGTGCTTTGTCCTTCCCTGAAGCTGCCTCCAACATGGCTCTGACAATGTTCTCCACGATGGGGATATCCCATTTTGCCTGTTTGCAGTCGTTTGGAAAAGTTATTCGCAGTTGAGTGTTGACAAGAGTGTCCCACTGGACAGGTCCTTCAGTGAATTTGGGATCATGAATCCCAATGGAGTCTCTTAGGTACTCTGATAAGATATCATTCAACAATTCTCCGGTAGCACTGATAGAGGATAAGAATACAGGCAATGCTATCTGAGTTGCTTTGGGTACCCCTATACCCCAGAGTCTAACTGGGATCGTTGCTTTGTCGCATTGGTCAACTCTTAGGAAGAGGTTTAACATTATATGGCTATTGATTTTAGGAGTTTTTCATATTCTGTTAATTATAGACTGTCAAAGGAGCGAACACACTTTACAAAATAGGTAAGCCTGGGCAAAGCCAGGCACCTTGTGAGGAGGTACAAAGCATCGTGGGCTCTCAAAGCCCCCTATTCTATTTTACATCCTCCTCAGGTCGTTTAGCCTTTCTTCGAGGATTATATCAATGGCACTCGAGCCTAGCAGCACACTATTGGAAAGAGTAATCACTGGGAATCTTGGCAAAACGATTCTTACTGCATCTATGACTGGTTGGCTAGATGAGATAATTTCACTCTGATTTCGGGTGAGTCCTCACTCCTCTCCCTTAGATTTCATTAGCTGTAGATCCCTTAAAAGGGATTCCTGTGCCCCTGCCAGGGTGCCATCGTCTAGGAATCCGATGTTGAGTTCCCTGGTCAATCTGCTTGTGACCTCTTTAGCAGCCATGCAAAAAAGGCAATATATATATATATATATATATATATATATATATATATTGTGACGGTAACGCGTTGGTGTTCGGCTGTTTAAGGCTAGGGGTATGGCCTCGTCACATAGTTATAAAAAAAAATAGAAAAACTGGAACTTCGTCTGTGGTAAGGTAAGGAGAAGACACACAAAACACAAGTAAACTTTAACAATGAAATTTTAATTACGTTAAATAAATCAAAACATGAAAATAATGCACAAACAAATTCTTATAATAAAATCAATGAATCAAAATAATAAGAATACTTAAATGACAAAATGAAAAGTTACGTTAAGGCAAAATAACAAGAAGTGCAATACAACAGTAAGTGGGAGGTGCTGGAATATTGGCTTAAAGCCACCACCTCTCTCAGTACACTCTAGAGTCTAGCTGGGAGGTGTGCTGGCTACGAAAGCACGGAACATTCTGAAGACTGATGTTGGGGCGACCCCAGACATCAGGTAGTATTGGGGGGCGAGTGCAGGTGCAGCCAGACCGGCGACCAATCAGCGGAGCCGTAGCGATCAACGGGTAGTTTGGTGATTTGGGTCCGAACAGGTGGCGGGCTGCATACGTTTCTGCTCACCCTTGCAAGCCTTGCTGGTGCTGGTGTTGTTGTCGTTGTTGGACATTTCTTCCATAGTCTTTTATATAATTGTGAAGACGTAATTTTGGAGGGAAGAGCAGGCTCAATCTCTTGAAGGAGATTATCGTCACAACTCTCCCCCGAAGCCTGCGGTTCTGGAAGAAGTACGTCGTTATGTGGTGGAGTAATGGATGGAGTCGCTTCTACTTCATAAACTCTGGAGAGATCATGGGCTAAGATGTTGTCAGACTCTTGGTATAGCGTGTCTCCAGGTTGAATTTCTGCAGGTAGCAAGCCCATAGTAGAAGACGTTGAGATGAGAAGTGGGCGTGCTGCAGGAGGTGTAGGGTGGTGTGGTCCGTATTGATGGTGGACCGAGCACTTTTCAGGTGTGGAGTGAAGTGCTGAAGCTTCAGGATGAGGAAGAGTAGCTCCTTGCCAATTGTTCCGTAGATCCTTGTAGCAGTAGTCGCTGACAGGTGTATTCTTCTCGCCTCGTTGCTGCATCACGACACCACCCACGTCGGTACCATTGGCGTCGACATGGAGGATGAAGGGCTTATCTGACGAGGTGAGAGTGGAATTAGAAGAGGGCATAGGAGCACGATTATTATCCTGAAAGCATTTGGGAAGATCATTAAGGATTTTGGAATTAGAAAGCGCCGACTCCTTGTCAGTGCTTTCGGGAGAAGAAGCCGGGATGGTCTCACTGTGGATGTAGGGTTCTGTGAATCTGGAATAATTAATCAAGACAGTGGGAGGAGTACCATTATATTGCTTCAGGAGGTTGACGTGGCACAGCTGGGTCTTCCGCCGCCTATCTGGAGTCTCTATCACATAATTATTATTATTCCTGCACTCTTTGACGCAGTAGGGTCCTGAAAATCTGTTTTGTAAAGGTGAACCTGGGATAGGGAAATAAGCAAGGACGAAGTCTCCCGGCTTGAATTTTCTTACTTTGCTGGTCTGGTCGTAATGAGTCTTCATTCTCACCTGGGCTTTCAATAGATTATCATGAGCAAAGCGGTGGACTCTCTCTAGAATGTGCTGAAGGTTTTGAAGAAACTGGGGCACATTCTGATGCTCACTGAAGGTGGCATCTCTGAGAGAGTCTTTGAAAGCCTTAAGGGGAGTACGGCACTTACGGCCGTAGAGCATCTCATAAGGAGATACTCCTAGGGACTCATTGGGGAGACTTCTGAAAATACACATTATTAGGTCAATCTGCTTATCCCAATCCTTTGAGGTTTCACTACAAAACTTTTTCAAGAGTGCTTTGATGGTCTGATGACTACGTTCAAGAGAACCCTGTGAAGCAGGATGATAGGGGCTGGACAATACCTGTTTGATGTTGAACTCCTCCAGTGTCCTTTTGAAGAGATCACTGGTGAAGTTGGTGCCACAGTCACTTTGAATCTCCCTGGGAAATCCGTATTGAGTGAAGATCTTCAGTAGATGTTTGATAACCGTAGCAGCCGTGATGTTCTTCACTGGAACTGCTATGGGAAATCTGGTGGTAGGACACAGGATGGTTAGGATGTAGGCGTTACCTGAACTGGTCCGAGGTAAAGGACCAACACAGTCTATTATGAGTCTGTGGAAAGGTTCCGCAGGCACCTGTATGGGAATCAGTGGTGCTCTGGGAATGGAGACGTTCGGTTTGCCTGCCATCTGACATGTATGACACTGTTTTACGTACTGTTTGACGTTGTTTACCATACCTGGCCAGTAGTAGTCTTGACGAATCCCATGGTAAGTCTTGTTGAAGCCGTAGTGGGAGAATGCTCCGTGGGCCAGGTGTAGAATAGTGGGCCGCAGGCTGGTGGGAATCACAAGTTGTTCGGTGTTGGCCCAATCGTCCTCCTCCTTCAGTTTACTGGGTCTATATCTGCGGTAGAGCAAGTCGTTCTCTAGGAAGAACCCAGGAATACTGTCGGGTTGA